CTCACATACATACATATGCATGAACATAAATACACAAAATTCTTTTCGTGCACCAATAAAGCCCAAAAAATGGGTTCAAAAAGCAGATATATTATACAAACTATTTTATATACATAGTATGTATATGTATGTACATACATTCATACATAAAAATGTATATACATAAAATACATACATATATACACATGCATAATTATATATGTAGATTGTGACATTGAAGGCTAGTAGTTTCTAGAATTAAACACTGTAAAATTTAACACCGAAATACATACAGTCCTCACTTATAAGTGCAACTCGTCCGAAATTCCTCAGAACGCTGCACGCATGGTCGAGTTATTCCCGAAAAGCGGGACTGAGCCTGTCCCGAGCGGGATATTTAATTATGATTTAAAAATCTGGATGTCCCGCCATATCGGGACGTCGGCAACTCTGTCATGTACATACATACATATGTATGTACATTGTAAGTGTATGTATTCAATTGTACAGTTCAACACTTATTTATATGTGTTTTTTGAATATGAATGTTGTGAGGGTAAAAGACGTGTTTCTGCTATTGTAAATAGGAAGAATACATTCACGGAATAAGCTTAACGCTTAATATCTCCCAGAATTCTTCAGAATACATTTGTAGCGTTGTTAGCTGACGCAACCGTTTAACACAAACGGTAAGTCGCTTGTAAATATGCGATCAGTTGAGATGCTAGATGCTAGGCATGTGTCGGCTTTTTTCGGCCCGTCACAGCGCGATCACGTAATTGGCTATAAAAAATCACGATTCCGTATGCACCAGAGACCTGCAACGAGTACTACATTTTCAATCATACTCGAGTATTTACCCATACTCGGTATCAGGGTTCGTAAAATGCGGGCAAAACCCGTTCGGGCCCGCCAGAAATTCTGCCGCGGGTATTTTCGGGTCGCTGCCGACAGAGGCCGCGGGTACGATCGGGTCGTACATATGTATGTGTGATGTGTTAAATTTGTATGATGGTATGCTTGTGTGTATATATTTCAAGGCAAAATGTGCGCGATGCATTTCATCCCTTATAGCCTCACTCAGCACGAACGAGCGCTCTGCTACTGCAGACCGGCTCGTACGACACTGCTGCTGTCGGCAGCGACCCGTTACCTCTGCCAGACGACCCGATCGTACCCGCCGCCTCTATCGGCAGCGACCCGAAAAAACCCGCAGCAGAATTTCTCGCGGACCCAAACGGGTTGCGAGCACATTTTACGAACCCTGCTCGGTATGATTATTTCATTTGGGTAGAGTGACAAGCAAGCCCTCAACGAACACTCAGTTCGAATCAAAACTGCAAAAACTCAGAAGTGAGCGGTTGTGCCCGAAACTTCTTGCATGAATGCAAGCAATGATTGGTTTGAAACGAACCCTCACCAACCAGTCAGTTCGACTCACAACTGCAAAAACTCAGAATGAGGGGCGGTGACAAAAACTTTTTGCCTGCGTGCAAGAAATGATCGAACGTCGTATTTACAATCATGTCCGCATGACCGAAATGACCAATGATATCGGCATGTGCACTTGCATTTTCTATTGTTTTTTCGGCTATTAGTTAAATGGTAACATCGTATACAAGTATGTAAATGCATATAAATGAAAGAAGCCAACAAAACTATTAGCGAAAAGAAATACCTTCCTTTTTACTTAAATCAAAAAAAGGTATGCTATTTTAATTTATATTAATTTGTTTATTTTAAGATATTTGAGGTCCTTTTTGAAGAAATAAAATTATGCTAAATTTCATAATATAAAAATAAATATTTGTATACATATGTTTTCTTTCATTCTGTACCTCTTTATTTAAAATACCTACATACATATACACATGTTTGCGCATAATTGCAAACAACACATGCACGCACAAATACATAAATATGTCCATACATGGATATTTCATACGGTCATACTCGGGTAAAACCCGCGGAATATTCGAGTATTACCCGAGTATAGCTCGCGCAATACCCAAACAATACTCGACAAATAACGGCACTATACTCGTTCGATCAAACGCTCATTATGCAAAGTCTGGTTTGTTTCGATCAGGACCCAGTCATCTTAAACGAAGTGACCGAGCCTGAAATGTTTGAAAGCAAACCAATCAAGGCTGGTACCCGTTCGCAACGACAGAATACTCGAAGTGACCGAGCCTGAACTGTTCGAAAGCAAATCAGTCAAGGCCGGTACTCGTTCGAACCGACCGCAATAAGCAAAGTGACCGAGCCTGGTGTGCTCGAAAGCAAACCAATGAAGGACCGTTGCTTGTTCGTAAAAATGGAAAGATTGCTCATGCACGTTCGATCATAAGAAAAATGCCGAGAGTACTCAACTCGTTCGTGCTCGTTTGCAACCAAGCAAAGATCTGATTTGATTGAATTTTCAGCAAGGGTGGTCGAACATACTCGTTGCAGTTCTCTTGTATGCACGGTGAATGGATAGACAAATTTTTCTTCGTAAATCGAATAATTAGGAGAATGTCGATATTTAATTTATGATTGTATACATGTGTATATGGTAGTCCAATTTCCAAGGACCGATATATGTACATAATATTACTTTTTCGTAAAATATTAATTTACTTTATGCAAATGTGGCTAACATTAACATTGTTATTTTTTGGCTATGCGCTCCAAATCCGTTGCTTTTTTCAACAATGAAATACATACATTTACATAACACAATGTTTTAAGATAGACTTTGTGCAAAAAACTGGAATAAATATTACAGTATTTGCTAACTTTAAATTATATTTTAGTGTTTTTTTTTTTTTTTTTTTTTTTTTTTTTTTTTTTTTTTTGGTTTCTATCGCATATTCACGTTTGTGTCTTTTCGTGCTATATTGTGTCAACACGGCAACGTGTCCACGCAACAATAAAGAGCACCGATTTTGCCCATCTGTTTGTGTCTGTGAGTGTGTCACTGTGTGTGTTTATGTGATGTCCCCAACTGTTTGATATTTTGCGCTCTTTGTTATTTATTTTTGATGTAAAGTAAAAAACATATTTCTATATTTCGAAAATCGTTGAATGCCAATTTGCAGATATAGTTATGTTGATTACGGATACCAAATTTTAAATCGTTCGGACAACATTAATAAGTGTTTTTTGAATTGTTTTATAGATTACACAAACCCAGTTTGGAGCCAATCAAATGAAAATTGTAGATTTTTCATAAATCTTTGGAGCCCTCTTTCCCCCATTTGGCGTTCGAATTTTCCAAAATCTTAGTGCTCACCTACACCATAAAAGACTACTTTTGTCCGAATTTCAGCTTCCTAGCTCTTATCTTTTGGGCTGTACGTTGATTGCCAGTCAGTCAGTCAGGACAAACTGTTTTATATATATATAGAGATGTGTCTACGCTATACGAGTTTGTTTCATTTTTTGATTTTCTCCCACTTCCCCCCTTTGGGGGTTTTCCCGATTTTCCATTCTAATAATCGAATATATCTCGGAGACTATAAGACCTAGGAACACCAAATTTTACCTCCCCCCTCTCCACAGCAAATCGTACCTCCCGTAATTCTTGGAATTTCGAACTCAAATTTTGCAAATACCCCCAGTTAGTGCCCTTGTGCGATTTAGCAGGAAGTTATAGCCATAAATATATTTCCTGGCCAAGCGCTGCCCACAGCTGTTGTTGATGCTGCTGCTTTGGTTGATTCCAAACATGTTCACACAGACACGAATAGACGCACATAAGACACAATTGCTTTGTATATGTGCAATTATACACCCTTTACGTGAGTTCCAATACCGAGAGAGGTAAAATCGATCCAAATTTTGATACCCGGTACACAAAGGGTATATTAGTTTTGAAACACACAGAAGGAGGCGTGGCAGACCCCACAAAGTGTATATATTCATGATCAGCATGACAAACCGAGTCGATATAGCCATGACCGTCTGTCTGTCTGTATGAACGCAAGATTCACAGAAAGTATAAGAGGTAGAATAACCAAACTTCTCCTGAGCCCGAGAAAGGACAAGCTTGACCCCCCCCCCCCCCCCCCCCCACTCACCCCTATTCATGATTTTCTGTAACTCCCTTAATTCTTGGAATTTTTAACTAAAATTTGATAGACACATCCAGTTATATCTATATACAAAGTTTTATTATGATAGGTTGATTAGAAAGAAAGTTATAGACATATAACAAGGCCCAAGCTCTGGCCGCAGGTGTATTTGTTGCTGCTTTGACATAATTATGTAATGCACACATACATACATATGTACAAAGCAAGTCCTTCTTTTTTTGGCAGGTGGTTCAAGAGGAATAGGCCCAAGTTCTTATGAATTCCATGCCCCACCGGTGTCAGGCTGTGTAGGATAACAAAGAATTCACAACTCCATATAAGCCCTAATAAACATGTAGAACATGTATAATGAAGATTAGTTTAACAGCACTTTTCATGGGTATAGCCATAGGTTAAAGTCTCTATGAAACGTTACCAGGACCTCATGAATTCCATGCCGAGTCGGTGCCAGGCTCTATTGAATAACAAAGGATTCACAACTCAATATAAGCCCAAAAAAACATGTAGAACATGTTTTGTGAAGATTAGATTAGATTAAGTTTGGTTGGTTTTTAACAAATATAAAATAAGCACTATTTTTCCTATGAACACCGTTTCTTATGGGTATTTGTATACAATCATGAAAAACAAGTATGCGTTCAAATGTAACGGGATTTCTTCGGTTTCATAATGCTTAAATTCTAGTCTTTCTTAAAAGATATCGATTGTTCAATTTGGATGACTGGAAATGTCTCTAAAAGAGTTTTGGAAGTGGTGAGGTATGGCACTACTATTTCATTGAACACAGCAGTATATACTTGTAATACAGAAGTCCATGTTATATAAACAAATGTCAAAAAAATTATTTTTTCCTTTTTTTTTAATCCAGCCTACTATACTTTATTACGCTATAGTATTGATACAGGACAGAACAAAACACAAAATATTGAAAAAGGTACATACATTGTTAGTCCATGTCGTTGAAGTGTGACAATCCTTATCCAGAGAAGTTTCGTCCTCTTCTGTGGTGGCTCCGATCCGACCAGATAGCCGTTGTTGCATCTGTTGTTGTTGCTCTAATTGTTCTTGCTGAACTAGCAAACTAGATGTCATAAATTGGTGAGTTCTATTGCTATTCGTTTCTAATGGTTTCCTCATTGTCGCTTGCGTTTTAGGCATTTCAGAGCTCGTGCTTGCCTGATGTTGATGCGATTGCGCAGCAGTTTGTAGACTGAGCTGCTGCAACAATTGCTGCTGTTGTAGCTGTCTCTGCTGCTGTTGTATTAAAAGATTTCCAATAATCTGTCCATTAGAATCAACTAATATCTGTCGTTGTTGCTGTTGATGCGACTGATGGACTGGTTGCTGCTGCGTTTGATTGGAAAGTTGTTGTATTTGGCTTAGAGTTGTGGCAATGCTTGTTAGATTGCTGCTACTGCTGCATATGCTCAAATTGTTGCTGCTGTCATTTGAGTTGCTGCTGTTAGTAACCACACTGCTGGAAACCTCCATATCGGCAGCCGACATGGGAACATCGCATAGAATGTCAATTGGGACCTAAAAATATTAAATGTAAATATTGTTGAATTAAGATTAGGTCAGAAGTTGGGATATATCTCCACAGATTGAAATGGCAGAGAAAAATATTGTTCATGGAATTGCCAAGCTGAGGGCAACACAAATTTAAAATATTTCGTCCCGAGATAAAGTTTACTTGCCTCATGAGCGTATTCATTTTGGGGCTGTTGCATAAAAGAATTCTGCGCCAAATGCACCACATCTTGCAATTGAGCTTGCAATTGTTGCTGTTGATGCTGCTGCAACTTATCCACAATATTGCGTACATTAGCATTATCTATCTTATCATGCATCACATGACCATCCAAAAGTTGTTCTTGCGTGGGTTCATTGTGATCGCGCACTTCATTACCAATGCATTCTACCACATCGTCATCGCATTCTACCACATCATCCATTATATCATCATCTTGCTGCACGACTTCCATTAAGTCTATATTCTCAGTACTTATGATTTCGGTATGCATGTCTTGATGTTGTTCCACGTAGTCTTCAGTAATGGCTGCCGATGTACTTGCCCCCGTCGGTGCAAGATATTTTATACCACCAAAGTTCCAATCATGTTGCACATGCTGAAACATTTCGTTCGAATTTAACTCTAACGGCACGTCAATTGTTTGTTCTGCCTCTGTATGTTGCTGATGTTGCAGCGTTGTCAGCATTGATTGTACATCGCCAAGTGTGTCATCTGATGTTGCAGCAGGTTTTGGCAGCGCAGCCCTTTTTGAGCAAGGCATTGTACTTGTCGAAGTAATAGTTTCTAATGAAGAGCAAGTGGTGAATGGTTCGATCGGTTGGTTGTGTGTTTTTTCGCAATCATCGATATTCGTTACTGATTGACCTGTAATATTTCATGAAAAAGTAAATGGTTTATTTTTTATTTTAAATTTAAACGTACTCAGAAGTTTGTAAACACAATAGTCGGCAATCCGTATGGTAGAAAAAAAAACATGGGGTAATGCTAACTTTTAAAACGTACATTCGGTTTAGGTAATAAGACTGTAAATTGGATAATTATAATGAGAGATATTGGTAAATTTGCCTTGGATAACTATGGAGAAGGGCCGCATGTCCAACTCTTATGTACCCAGACCCTAAAAAGCATATATTCTTGCATTCTGTGTGTCCGTCCGTCTATGTAAGTACGCAGTACAAGTATACATTTTGAAATACTCAAAATAGTCTTCCGCCCACTCGGGATTGTATATGTATGTCCATACGTCAAGTTACACCATGATGGGTCAATTTGAAAGTTATAGCCACAAAAATAATGCCTTTTGTGAATACGCAGAAAATGTGTATTTTGGAATATCCCTCCCTCACCCCTCTCCCACGCAATTAGTGATCTTTCATTACTCTCGGAATTCTTAGAATTTCGAACTCAAATTTTGAAAATACGCCCAGTTAGTGATTATGTGCCTGTCTGCCAAGTTTGATAATGATAGGCAGATTTAACAAGAAGTTATAGCAATAAATATATTTGCTACCCCCAGTTGTTGTTGTTGGTGCTTTGGCTTAACTGTGTACTGCATACATGCTCATAAGACACGCATACACACAATTATCTTGTGAATTAGTTATACACCCTTTATGTGACTTCAAATACCTAAGAAGGTATAACGAATAAAAAAATTTTTTTGTAATATACCTAATTCTGTTTTTACACGGTAGATTGGTTCCAGAAACAGCCGTGTAAAAAAAGGCATTGATCATATGCAACAAAAGGTTCCTTATCTCTAAAGAAATATATATGCAGTTTGTAATTTTCATACCGTGTTACATCAAAATCGTGTAAAAAAAGACCGTCTAAAAACAGAATTAAGTGTATTACAACTTGGTTACTTTTGTTACAATTTTCTGAACTCACGAAAAGCGTTTATAACTGCACGTACGAATTGTGCCGATGAATTTTTGTGTGTGTCTGTGTTTATCTCATGCGCCTGTGCAAAGAATTGCACTGCTAACAACAGCAGGGGACAGTGCTTTGGCAGTGATTATCTATATATGTATATAAAACAGTTTGTCCTGACTGACTGACTGATTGGTGATCAACGCACAGCCCAAACGGTAAAGGCTAGGAAGCTGAAATTTGGACTCAAGTATCCTTGAAGAAAACTCGAGCTCCAAAGGGGGGAAAAAGGCTCCAACGTTTGTATGAAAAATCTACAGTTTTCATCTTCAAACTTAGTTTGTATACTCTCAGAACAATTCCAAGAAAAACTGTATACTTGGTTTTTTGATATTTTTTTTTAAGCCTAAAATATGGGAGTTTTCCTGTAAAAAAATGTTGGGGCACAAAAGCAAACCGCATCAACAGCCCACAGCCCACACGGTAAAAGCTAGGATGCAGAAATTTGGGGTCAAGTATCCTATCATAGTGTAAATGGTTCATTAAGAAGGGATTTTGGAAAATTCGAGCTTCAAAGCTGGGGGAAAACGAGCTCCAAAGTTTGTTTGAAAAATCCGCATTTTTTAGCCGATCGACCTCAAACTTAGTTTCTAAAATCAATTAAAGAATACAAACAAAACTGCATACTTAGATTTTCGAAATTATTTTGTTGGAGCTTGAATTATTGGGGTTTTAATACTTATTCACTATTTCAAATGAAAAGTTTGTGTTATAAATTTAGTCCGATCGATTTAAAATTTGGGTAATGTAATCTACGTAACTAAATCTACAACTTTGCATTCAAGGATTTTCAAAATATGCATTTTACAAAAGCAGGCAGAACAAACAATACAAAATATCAAACAGTTGGGGACAACTAAGTATACATACACACACATACAAACAGCAGTTCGTGTAGTTGCGTGCAAACGATTGAAATAGCCAAAGCAAAATGTGAGACACTAAAGTGTGAATGTCCATACATACATATATGCACATCTATGTATGTACATACATATGTATATATGTACATTCGTCTTGCACTGACAGAGCAAGAAATGTTAATTAATTGAAAATTATATAACATTTTTAAAAGTAATTTTTTCTTTGTTTAGTGCATTTGGCATTAGGGTTTTCATTAATAACTTTATGCAGCAACAACAAATATCAAATAGTTAGGGACATCACATACACACACTCACACACACAACAAGCAACAGTTCGTGTCTATGTGTGCGGTTCTCTACGTACGGTTGAAAAAGTAAAGAGAAACATACATATGTATGTATGTATGTATGCCTGTGTATGAATATAGCATGTATGTACATTCGTATTAATGTATACATTGGGCAATCGAACACAGTTGTTTGATTGTAAAAAAAATAATGCTCTAAGAACAACAACTGCAAAACATTGGCTCGCTCTTCTTCTTTCGTTTTGACCATTTAATGTTAATTGCAAAGGCAAAATGCCAAAAGTTTACAGTTACCGTCGCTAGGCAACGACTGCGTAAGCGATAGTAAAGCAGAAACCGAATAACGGAGCTACGCATATTCTGCTTCGCATTGCGGGCAGATGTATGTATGTATATGATTTGTTCTTATGATGCTGATCTCAATAAATAATTAGATTTTATTATTTAAATATTCTGCTTATTGCATTCAAACTTCGATATTTTGATGGTATCGGTGGCTTCAACTATCGAAAGTTTTACTTTAGCAAATTGAGATGAGAATTGTCAGTGCTTTTTGATCGTGGCTCATCGCTGCACGGCATTGACACGAGTGCCGTATTTCATATTCCGAGTTTGTGCGTGACCGTATGACTCAATATGGCACGAAAAGACTCAAATGTGAATTTAAAATTAGGATATACCCTTATAATTATTCCCCTTTTTTGCACATAGTCTATCTCAAAACGTTGCGTTATCTCTATATATAAAACAGTTTCCTGACTAATTGGTGATCAACGCACAGCCCAAACGGTAAAAGATGAAATTTGGACTCAAGTATCCTTTCATAGTATCCATCATAGTGTAGGAGCACACTAAGAAAGGCTCTTGGAAAATTCCAGCTCCAAAGGGGAAAAATGATACAGATTCTCCTTTCTCGGGCTCAGGAGAATCTGTATACCAAGTTTGGTTATTCTAGCTCTTATACTTTCGGAGATCCTTGCGTTCATACAGACAGACAGACAGACGGACAGACGGAAATGGCTATATCGACTCGGCTTGTCATGCTGATCAAGAATATGTATACTTTGTGGGGTCTACCAAGCCTTCTTCTGTGTGTTCCATGTGCACTCGCACAAAACTAATATACCCTTGTACCCTTTGGGTACAAGGTATAAAAACAATTATTTCCTATTTTGAAATAAGCACGTTTAAGTGCCGTTTATTTTAATAGGAAATCACATATTGTTCCTTATCTAAAACTGTATCATATTTTTAAAACTGTATTAAATTTTAATTCTAAAGTGCACCCAAAGTAAGCAGGGCAGTTAAGTTTGGGGTACTTCATTCATTATACCATTAAAATAATATATTTTCCAAAATGGTGCGCTCATAACTTTTAACCTACGAAAGAAAAGGCTAACTTATGGCCTACTAGCAGGTATTGCCCGTCTTAACCCGGCTCAATATAATGTTTCCAATTGTATTTATTTTGTGTGTGCATAACCTACCCATATGTTTTCACCTTATAAGTTACCAGTAGGAAGGCATTTAAGGTATTTAAATGAACATTTTCTGTTCTTGACAAAAAATTGTTCAGTAGTCCGTTACATTTTTGTTCTTGCCAAACTATTTCGTTAAACGAACTGACCACTATAACTAATATTTTTTAATACTCGTTTTCCCCCCGTTGGAGCTAAAATTTTCCAAAAGCCTTTCTTAGTGTGCTCCTACACTATGATGGATACTATGAAACGATACTTGAGTCCAAATTTAAATTCACATTTGAGTCTTTTCGTGCCATATTGAGTCAATATGGCCACGCACAAACTCGGAATATGAAACACGGCACTCGTGTCAATGCCGTGCAGCGATGAGCCACGATCAAAAACTACTGGCACCGATACCATCAAAATATCGAAGTTTGAATGCAATAAGCAGAATATTTAAATAATGAAATCGAATTATTTATTGAGATTAATAGGAACAAATCATATACATACATACATACATACATCTGCCCGCAATGCGAACCAGAATATGCGTCGCTCCATTATTCGGTTTCTGCTTTACTATCGCTTACGCAGTCGTTGCCTAGCGACGTTAACTGTAAACTTTTGGCGTTTTGCCTTTGCAATTAACATTAAATGGTCAAAAAGAAAGAAGAAGAGCGAGCTAATGACTTGCAGTTGTTGTTGTTTTTAGAGCATTATTTTTTTTTACAATCAAACAACTGTGTTCGATTGCCCAATATTAATACGAATGTACATACATGCTATATTCATACACAGGCATACATAAATACATACATATGTATGTTACTCTTTACTTTTTCAACCGTACGTAGAGAACCGCACACATAGACACGAACTGTTGCTTGTTGTGTGTGTGAGTGTGTGTATGTGATGTCCCCAACTATTTGATATTTGTTGTTGCTGCATAAAGTTATTAATGAAAACCCTAATGCCAAATGCACTTAACAAAGAAAAAATTACTTTTAAAAATGTTATATAATTTTTAATTAATTAACATTTCTTGCTCTGTCAGTGCAAGACGAATGTACATACATACATACATATGTAGATACATATGTACATACATAGATGTGCACATATGTATCTATGGACATTCACACATTAGTGTCTCACATTTTGATTTGGCTATTTCAATCGTTTGCACGCAACTACACGAACTGCTGTTTGTATGTGTGTGTATGTATACTTAGTTGTCCCCAACTGTTTGATATTTTGTATTGTTTGTTCTGCCTGCTTTTGTAAAATGC